TCTTTCTCTCTCTCTCTCTCTCTCTCTCTCCTCTCTCCTCTCTCCTCTCTCCTCTCTCTCCCCTTTCTCTCCTCTCTCTCTCTCTCTCTCTCTCTCCCTTTCTCTCCTCTCTCCCTTTCTCTCCTCTCTCCTCTCTCTCCCCTTTCTCTCCTCTCTCTCCCCTTTCTCTCCTCTCTCTCCCCTTTCTCTCCTCTCTCTCCCCTTTCTCTCCTCTCTCTCCCCCTCTTCTCTCTCCTCTCTCTCTCCCCTTTCTCTCCTCTCTCTTTCCCCTTTCTCTCCTCTCTCTTTCCCCTTTCTCTCCTCTCTCTTTCCCCTTTCTCTCCTCTCCCTTTCCCCTTTCTCTCCCCTTTCTCTCCTCTCTCTCCCCTTTCTATCCTCTCTCCCCTTTCTCTCCTCTCTCTTTCCCCTTTCTCTCCTCTCTCTTTCCCCTTTCTCTCCTCTCTCTCCCCTTTCTCTCCTCTCTCTCTCCCCTTTCTCTCCTCTCTCTCTCCCCTTTCTCTCCTCTCTCTCTCCCCTTTCTCTCCTCTCTCTCCCCTTCCTCTCCTCTCTTCTCTCTCACTAGCAGGGAACTTACCTGGAATGTATATTGTTTCTCCATTCTCATTATTCACAGTATGTTGGTGGAAGTCAAACCGCATAAGTACACTATATCCCTGAGATTAGATCATGTGTGTATGGTGTCTAGTAGTAGTAGGCATCCATCAGTCTCAGGAGACTATGGAGTTGCGCTCTGGTTGTCGGCCTGGAGTGACCTCTCCAAGGTGCAAAGCCAGGGTAGGTTGATACTGAGAAGCTGTTACCCATGCAGCAGGTCACCCACTCCAGACCGACAACCAGAGCGCAACTGTATAGTCTCCTGAGACTGATGGATACCTACTAAGTGGTGTCTTCCGTATTTATATAGATTCTTCCTATAATTTCCTTAAACCATTTGCAATTATGAATATGCAAAATGGTAACATTAACGTTGATGCAGCTGCAACTACCAACATTCATGTTCATGCATCTACTAGCATTCGTGTTGATTCTTCTGCAACAACTAGCATTCGTGTTGCTGCTGCCTGAACAGCATTTGTGTTGATGCAGTCACAACTAGAATTCTTTGTGGCTGTATCAACTCTCAAAAGAGCACCCACTCTGCCGATATGCTAGCAAGCACCCACTCTGACGATATGCTAGCAAGCACCCACCCTGACGATATGCTAGCAAGCACCCACACTGACGATATGCTAGCAAGCACCCACACTGACGATATGCTAGCAAGCACCCACCCTGCCGATATGCTAGCAAGCACCCACCCTGCCGATATACTAGCAAGCACCCACCCTGCCGATATGCTAGCAAGCACCCACCCTGCCGATATGCTAGCAAGCACCCACCCTGACGATATGCTAGCAAGCACCCACCCTGCCGATATGCTAGCAAGCACCCACCCTGCCGATATGCTAGCAAGCACCCACCCTGCCGATATGCTAGCAAGCACCCACCCTGACGATATGCTAGGAAGCACCCACCCTGCCGATATGCTAGCAAGCACCCACCCTGCCGATATGCTAGCAAGCACCCACCCTGCCGATATGCTAGCAAGCACCCACACTGACGATATGCTAGCAAGCGCCCACACTGACGATATGGTAGCAAGCACCCACACTGACGATATGCTAGCAAGCACCCACCCTGCCGATATGCTAGCAAGCACCCACCCTGCCGATATGCTAGCAAGCACCCACCCTGCCGATATGCTAGCAAGCACCCACACTGACGATATGCTAGCAAGCACCCACACTGACGATATGCTAGCAAGGACCCACACTGACGATATGCTAGCAAGGACCCACACTGACGATATGCTAGCAAGGACCCACACTGACGATATGCTAGCAAGCACCCACCCTGCCGATATGCTAGCAAGCACCCACCCTGCCGATATGCTAGCAAGCACCCACCCTGCCGATATGCTAGCAAGCACCCACACTGACGATATGCTAGCAAGCACCCACACTGACGATATGCTAGCAAGCACCCACACTGACGATATGCTAGCAAGCACCCACACTGACGATATGCTAGCAAGCACCCACACTGACGATATGCTAGCAAGCACCCACACTGACGATATGCTAGCAAGCACCCACCCTGAAGATATAATAGCACAGTTTGAGAGGCTCTTCACCGCTCTCTGATGCGAGAGGTGTGGGGATACGCCTCGCTGAACACACCTGAGACTTTAGGCCATATAGCGCGAGGCAATAAGGGCGTCGTGAACCCGAGGGGAAAATTAACCCAGATCCAGTGATCACGATCATAACGGCGTAAACAACTTCCTGTAATTTAGAGAATCAAAGTTGTTCGTGTTTTAAATGATAATTATATGGTAATTAAGGGATGACAGCCTATGGCATTTTTGTTCTCCTTAGCACGGTAAAGGGCAGGAATTGAGCCGTTAAGTTTGCTTGTAAAACCAGGAAGTGGTCACAATAGCCTGCACTAGGTTATCACTTTCTTCGCTAGTTTTGGTGGACAGGTTGGTGACGAGCCTTCAGGCTCAGCTGGACTTGTGAAGCTGCTTCTCCGTTATCTTTTGTCAGTGTGTGTAAACTGGACATTGTGGCTCAGTAAACCACAATGTAGGACAGAAAACAGGAGATACTTTTTGACCCATAAGGTTATAAACCCATGGAACCGCCTAGCCGCCGAAACTGTCAATACTAAGACATTAATGCACTTCAAGGTCCGGTTAGAAGAATCCCCGGTAAAAGTGGGGGTACCTGGGACAAGACACTGGCTTCCTGTCCCCATCGAGGCCATTAGATAGATAGGGCCCTCAGGTCAGCTCAGATGAATACTTTAGACTTGTATCGAGGTTCCCTCGTGGGCACACTACTGACCTTCCCCAGGATGCAACCCCCACAACTTTTGCCTAACTCTGAGGTACCTATTTACGGCTAGGTAAACAGAGGCATTGGGTAAAAGGAAACACGCCCAACCGTTTCTGTCCCGCTCGGAAATAAAGAGTCCAGGATCCCGGAGTGTGAGTCGAGAAGGAAGCCAACTGTGTTTGGTTCATCTTCACTTCATTGATGCCATCATTGTGGTATCAATGAATCACCTTATACATATTGATACAAATTTCAGGAGTCTGTAGTATGAAGTATTCACGAGTATTAGATGAAGTCTGCTGCCAATTCAGGTCTTCCTGGGACACTTCAGTTGTCGCCTGTCCCGATTCTTCTAATTCATTTGTTATGGCCCGTAAACAGTGTGCACACTGACTGTCTGTGTGTGATTTAGAAAGAGATGTCGTTGGCCTTATTGTTACACATGAGGTCACTGTTGATGAGGTTCACCGCCTGGCCAGTCTTCATGGACAACCAGAAGCCTTCTACTGAGGTGCTCAGCCATTAGCCTCATGCTGTCTGTGTCACTGTTAAGAACATCACTTCCTCAGAGGTCATCACTCCCAGGCTGACTCACGTAAGGTGCCAACCGACCACATGAAGGCTCTGGCACTCAGCTCTGGCTTCATTCCATGTCTAACATAATAGTAATTTATTATTAAAGTTTATAATGAATACAAAATAATAATATCAATCGTTCTGTTTCCAGAAACAGCTTGCAGTTATCTTTCGGAGGTTCAGTGCTGTTCCAAATGAATAATCTAAGTCAAGGCATATAAAGACGGTGGACAAATAGGAGAGGGAGGGGGGCTGGGGGGGGGGGGGCTGGGGGGGCAGCAAGTGAGTAGCAATTCATCACTGACGAGAAAAGTTACCAGATTTCCATTTACTTTTACAATTTTCACTTTCAAGGAAGAAAACATGTCTAAATATAACGTTTAATTCTGGTTTGTTTTATATTAAAAAACTATTTGCTATTCATGGAAAAAATAAAAGAAACTTCAATAAAATTACTTAAGTTAATGTCCGTTTTTCGTGTTATATTGCATGGTTGCTTAATTTAATTTAAAATTATTTTAATCTATATGCTTAAAAATCAATCTGTAAATTTATAATCTATATGAAAATAACAATATGTGTAACTTTTTTGCTCCTGTGTATTAAATGTTATTTACTAATTCTTTACTCTTCCAAAGTATATAAAATAGCTATTAGTCCCCACAAACTTTCCAGAGTAAACTTAAAGTAACTCCATAATGGGAACAGTGAGTCACAACAACGGGGATGAAAATAGGACAGTCAATCCAAAAATCTGAAAATCAAAGCATTTATGACGTTTCAGTCTAAGACCAATAAGAATTCTTGTAATGCACGACTTGATAATAGTCAGGTATGGACCGAAACGTTGTCAATTCTTTTCTCACATTTGTGGGTTTGGTGTCCATAATGGGGACACGTTCCCTTGTCTTTCCCTGCCTCACTCTGCGCACCTCAAAGTTAATTACAACAGCATGAGGATCTTGCTGAACGCCTTGATAATGAGTACGGTTGGGAGGTCATAGGAGACTACAAAATGACGGCATTCTGATGAGTCGCCACTGATTTTATACCAAGGTTCCCTGTAATGCTTGAATTTGGTACAACAGGGACGCCAAAGAAAACGGAAAATACTCAAATTCACTCGTTTTCACGTTGAAAATTGGTAATAATTGAAATAATAGCAATTTTCTTTATTTTTAGACATAAACAATTACTTATTACCCAGGAACAAAATTCGTTTTACAGTGTGTAATTGAACAAGTTTAAGAAGTTATGTCTGTAGGTGGCAGCGGGTAGTTGGGCGCCCTCGGGAGGATTGGCACCACCTGAGTCTCCCTCGGGAGGGTTGGCAGCTCCTGAGTCTCCCTCGGGAGAGTTGGCACCACCTGAGTCTCACTCGGGAGGGTTGGCACCACCTGAGTCTCACTCGGGAGGGTTGGCACCACCTGAGTCTCATTCGGGAGGGTTGGCACCACCTGAGTCTCACTCGGGAGAGTTGGCACCACCTGAGTCTCCCTCGGGAGGGTTGGCACCACCTGAGTCTCACTCGGGAGGGTTGGCACCACCTGAGTCTCCCTCGGGAGGGTTGGCACCACCTGAGTCTCCCTCGGGAGGGTTGGCACCACCTGAGTCTCCCTCGGGAGGGTTGGCAGCTCCTGAGTTCCCCTCGGGAGGGTTGGCAGCTCCTGAGTCTCCCTCGGGAGAGTTGACACCACCTGAGTCTCCCTCGGGAGGGTTGGCACCACCTGAGTCTCCCTCGGGAGGGTTGGCACCACCTGAGTCTCTCTCGGGAGGGTTGGCAGCTCCTGAGTCTCCCTCGGGAGGGTTGGCAGCTCCTGAGTTTCCCTCGGGAGGGTTGGCACCACCTGAGTCTCCCTCGGGAGGGTTGGCACCACCTGAGTCTCCCTCGGGAGGGTTGGCACCACCTGAGTCTCCCTCGGGAGGGTTGGCAGCTCCTGAGTTTCCCTCGGGAGGGTTGGCACCACCTGAGTCTCCCTCGGGAGGGTTGGTACCACCTGAGTCTCCCTTGGGAGGGTTGGCACCACCTGAGTCTCCCTCGGGAGGGTTGGCATCACCTGAGTCTCCCTCGGGAGGGTTGGCACCACCTGAGTCTCACTCAGAAGGGTTGGCACCACCTGAGTCTCACTCAGAAGGATTGGCACCACCTGAGTCTCCCTTGGGAGGGTTGGCACCACCTGAGTCTCCCTCGGGAGGGTTGGCACCACCTGAGTCTCCCTCGGGAGGGTTGGCACCACCTGAGTCTCCCTCGGGAGGGTTGGCACCACATGAGTCTCCCTCGGGAGGGTTGGCACCACCTGAGTCTCCCTCGGGAGGGTTGGCACCACCTGATTCTCCCTGGGGGGGGGGGGTACATCCCGAACCGCCTTCGGAAGGGTAAGTACAATCTGAGTCGCCTATTGGAGAATGCTATAGCCTGGGTCGCACTCGGGATGCTTGGTAGAACCTGTGTCGGCTTTGGAAGGGTTGGTAGAATCTGAGTTGGCCTCGGAAGGGTTGGTAGAACCTGATTCGGCCTCGGGAGGGTTGGTAGAATTTGAGTCGGCCTCGGAAGGGTTGCGGTGCTCCTTAGTCGCCTTTGGGAGGTATGGTGGACCTGTCGAGTCGCCCTCAGCTGAATAGATGCTCCTACGCCACCCTCGAGAGGATTGATCCTCCTGAGTCACCCCTGGAAGGATTGGTGCTCCTGAGTCGCCCTCGGAAGTGTTGGAACCTCTAACACGCCCTTACGAGGGATGGTACCGCTAAGCCTCCCTCAGGGAAAAATTACGCTCCTGTGCCACTTATGGTTAACTGCGAATTCTGAGCCACGTCGTCATGAGGGTTATAACCTTTGCAGGAGCCGCTCTCGTGAGGGTTTATACCCGGTCACTCTTGGAGCTTTGTTCCCCTGAGATTCTCTCTGGAAGATTGGTGCCACTGAGCAAATCTAAGGAAGGTTGATGTTACTGAGCCATTGTTAAGGAAGTTTATACATTTAGAGGAGTTCTCGCCCCGGAGCTGCTCTCGAGAAGGTTGATTTCCATGAAATGCTCTCATATATTGTTCATGTTTCTAATTTAGGGCCAACGATAGCACAAATGTCCGAACGTGTCCTGGCGTTCGCTGTCTATCGCAAACTGCCGGAGATAAACTATTAGGCGGATGCTTGGTAATCCCTGGTGTCCCCCTGGAAGGCGAGCGCTGAACCCCATCCCACACAGAACCAACTGAAAGTCTGTCCACACCCAATAACTCCGGACGATAACCATCCCGTGAACTCTTGGGTATAGCCGAATAAAGTCGTCTAACTAACGGCAGACTCGCTATGGCCGCTCTATGGGATTGATTGACAGTTGAGAGGCGGGCCGAAAGAACAGAGCTCAACCCCCGCAAGCACAACTAGATGAATACACCTAACTTTACATCGAAATATGAACAAACCAATTTTGAGTACACTATGTTAAAACTGATGAAAGCGTTTGGACGAGGAGGGGAGGGGAGGGGAGGGGGACGGTTGCCACTCTAACAAGCCTGGGCTGAGGTCGGGGTTGCACACGTGTGAATCATGTTTTCACTTATAAAAAAAATTTGGCGGCTGGATTTACTAACATATTTGACCCTTGTTTATGAGGACGGGCTGTCTTGAGCCGCACTCGGGAGTGTTAATAAAACCTCTGAACCATACTCAGGAGGGTTGGTACCTTGAGCGGTATTTGGGAGGTTTGGTGCTCCTGAGTCACAACCTGGAACGGCCCTCGGGTAGACTGCTAGTTGTATGCTGGGACTGGAGGGTTGGCGGGGACACTCACCGAAATATGTTTTCCGCTTCTTAGTGTGTATGCATTGATAGTTTACTAAAGTATGCATACAGATTGGATAGTAAGCTGTTGTGGTGTCTTTAAGAACCAAATGAAGGGTTGACGCTCATGAGCGGCCCCTCTGCGAGTCAAAGTTATATAAAGGGTCCGCGGGTGGCAGCCGGCGACACTCCTCGCCGCAGTCATGTGGCGCCAACACCAACTTCTCTCGTGTCTCCTCCTGCTGTCCGCCGCCCTCCTTGTGGGTAAGTTTATTATCTTATTAACCACTTTTCAAGGTGGGTTGATTTTATTTAGCTGCTGTTAATAATTCTGGGAACATTTCTGACGGGGACCTTTGACTGAGAATGACTTTATAATCTTTCTGGAGGTTGAAACAGACCAATTATTGACATCTTTGTCCACAAAATGAATCTATGTCTTATCATAGGAAAGTAAATATCGTATATACAATAGTTTGAGATATGAGAGGTAACTGAGGAGCTGAGAAGAGCACATGGAGGGGAACACCACTAGCTGCAGGAAACTGTGTCAGATGTCGCCCGTCTCTCACAATACACGCTCATCATCACAATAATATGTTCCAACCCACATTACATTTATTTTGATGACCTACACGGCATTACTGGTGATAAAATAGTTGAGTTGCGTACATTCTCATTAGTAAAAATACTAAATTCTTGCCTACCCAGTGGTCACGATATCCATTAATGGCGTTGGTTTGATGTTGAATCAACGTTGATTAGGTGTTGAAATGAAGTTGATCCTAGATATTGTAGCCACTGGGTTATAAGAGCCCACGATGTTGCCAGTCTGCAGGAATAGTACCGGGACTTAATACCAGAAAATAGTTAACATCCTACAATAAACTAGCCGCCTCCGGCGGCAACAGTCAAATCGCGCGCGTTTATTAACTTTTTGTGTACTAGGGAACTGCTTAGTTTGGTAGATGGTCGGTTGGTAGCCTACCATCCAACCTGTACAGTGGCTTAGCGTCTGAACTTGAGCCACACATGTATACAATATTGAAAATATATGATGTTAAGGAAGTCGGTCGAGACATGCGCTAAAAACCCTTGGTGTGCTTACCTAATATTGAATATGAAGGAGTGAAGCCTAGCTTATTTTGCCCTGCCTTCTGTCCTTGATGTATACGGGAGGTATATTAACTTTTTTGTCAAGCCTGTTCTTAAATTTGTGGTTGGAGGTGACTTTTACAACTTCTTTCAGTGCATTCCACTTGTTGATCACCTCTCTGAGGCAGAGAACACGACACACTCGAGAGAAAACCTAAGCAACGTGGAAGTTTCAGCAGATGGAGCAAGGAAGCGGCGTAATGACCTATATATGTCTGAAAGCCGTAGAATCAGTCTGGTACAGTGGTTTCTAAATAATGTAGTGAAGCTAAATACAGTCATTGCGTACAGGCTACGAATATGTCCTTACATTTCTTCAACACATTTTATTTATATATACAAGAGTTCTTACATTCTTGTAAGAATATATGATCTCACAAGATGAATTCTTGTAATTTGCGTTTCCAACTTCTACTTGTTTGGTTTTCTCTTGGTTGTCCTTTTCCATCTGGTCTGTTCTCTCAGTATCTTGTATGTTGTGATCATACCCCCATTCGTTTCTTTTCGGTTCAAGAGTTGAGATATTTAGTTCCTGTAACATATCTTCGTAGCTTAACGCTCTTAGTTCTGGCACTAATCTTATTACAATCCTCTGTACTATTAAATTTTATTGATTTACCTAAAAGCCACTAACACTAGTGGCCTCGCCGAGGAAAGGAAGCCGGCGGCTTGTCGAAGATCTTCCCATTTCACACAGAAATCACAATAACGTGATGTATCAAATGAACAAATCCATTTCATTCCATTGAAAAACGTTTCAATTCTTTTAACCATGTCGTAGCTCAGTCGATTAAGGCAGCGTCTGGGATGCTCCTCGGACGCAGGTTCGAATCCTCGTCACGGCCCATGTGGATTTGTTCATCTTCCCATTTGTCTTGCTGTTTTCTAGTTGTACAGTACTTTAAAAGTTAAGTTTTGGCATTTACGGCTTCGGCGGGTAGGCGGTTCCATGGGTGGTTCCAATTTTTCACCTTGAGGGTGAAAAATTATCTCCTGTTTGTCCTACATTGTGGCTTGTTGAGCTTGAAACCGTTGTTCCCTGATTGTGTTACATTTGACTTTTTGAAGAAATTTACCTGATCGATAACCTCCAAATTGCTCAGTATTTTAAGTTTCGATGAGATCCGCCCTGTGATGCCTGGTTTGCATTGTTGTTAGCCCTGTGGCCCTCAACCGGTCTTTCATACGGAATACGGTAGCAACACATTGCTGGGTATACCTAAGCTTGTCAATAAAGAAAAACATCAACCGTTCCTGATACGTGAGTTGATTTAGCTATGGAATTATTTTTATTGCCCGGAGTTGCACTTTCTCCAAAGCAGTTCCTTCATAAAATAATCATTTCAGATCGGTGAAGCATATTTTACTGTTGGTCTAACATACTCTATCTTGAGGTTATCTTGAGATGATTTCGGGGCTTTAGTGTCCCCGCGGCCCGGTCCTCGACCAGGTCTCTACCCCCAGGAAGCAGCCTGTGACAGCTGACTAACACCCAGGTACCTATTTTACTGCTAGGTAACAGGGGCATAGGGTGAAAGAAACTCTGTCCATTGTTTCTCGCCGGCGCCCGGGATCGAACCCGGGACCACAGGATCAGAAGTGCAGCGTGCTGTCCGCTCGGCCGACCGGCTCCCAAGAAAATTGGAAGATTGGACTACGCTAGGAAGATTGTTTTGAAAAAAAAGTTATTTGGGATTGCAAATGTTTTGATGTTTGCCAGCGACCCATATAGTTCCGATGTTACCCAATTTGCGTGCCTTTGATGTTAGTGCTGTAATTATTTCCACCCCCAAGTTTCTCTTTCCGATTCCTGTAGTTGCCTTTCCTTTATGTTGTAGATTCCTCCTGGTCTCCTTCTCCATTTCCCATTCCCCATTACTTTATTTTTTATTTATATAAAGAATTCTTACATTTTTGTAAAGCCACTAATACTGTTCCACACTGCCTCCTGTGTGGAACACAGGAGACAGTGTGGAACTAAAGGCTTTCTAGTAATCCAGAAAGATGCAGTTAGCCTATCATTCTCTTTTTTTTTCCTCTGCTGTTGTTTTAACATTTTGTAATAAAATTCCTGCAGCTTCTTAGACACTATCACAAATATCCGTTCCAAATTTTCCATTAACTTCCTGACAAATTGATGCAAGATTGTCACAAGAAATGTGGACACTACGTGTTAAAGGTTAATGCCTCCTGTCTGTCCCTTCATATGAAGGTATGTCTTCAGTCTTTAAAATCTTCAAGTTGTCTGGTAGTTTTATATGCCCAGGTGAAGCATTTTTGATTATTGAGAGATTTGCTCTGAGCTTCACTACATTCTTTAGAAACCACTGTACGAGACTGATTCTACGGCTTTCAAACATATATAGGTCATTACGCCGCTTCATTGCTCCATCTGCTGTAACTTCCACGTTCCTTAGTTTTTCTCTCGAGTGTGTCGTGTTCTCTGCCTCAGAGAGGTATTCAGGCTCTCGTTTGAACGCTTCCTGGAAGTATCTTGTATGTCTCCCTGTTTTGTCTCTGGTCCCCATGTCTCTGGTCCCCATGTCTCTGGTCCCCCATGTCTCTGGTCCCCCATGTCTCTGGTCCCCCATGTCTCTGGTCCCCCATGTATCTGGTCCCCCCATGTCTCTGGTCCTCATGTCTCTGGTCCCCCATGTCTCTGGTCCCCCATGTCTCTGGTCCCCCGTGTCTCTGGTCCCCCATGTCTCTGGTCCCCATGTCTCTGGTTTAGTCTAAATACCTGGGCGTGTACAGTCTTTTTCCCGCTTGATGTGACTGTGTACCAGTTTCAATTAGTCTTGAGCAAGGCGAACTGTGTTGCTGTTGTTCTTAAAGTATTGCTCCTGGTTTTTACATATTCGTCCCCTGTGTGTGGTTTGGTAGGTTGTGTTTAGAGGGTGTGGAGGGTGGGTTGTGTAGGTGGGAAGGTGTACTCACCTAGTTGTGCTTGCGGGGGTTGAGCTCTGGCTCTTTGGTCCCGCCTCTCAACCGTCAATCAACAGGTGTACAGGTTCCTGAAAACCTGTACACCTGTTGTGAACAGGTGTGAAAGTGTAGGTGTGTGTACTGTAACAGATTACGTTATTTAAGTAGGTTAGTTGTCTTATACATTACTGTACATCGCTGTATATGGTGGCGTGTGTGTGCGTATTTTATAATCTTTAGACTCGCAATATTTGTAAGACTTGCTTGAGGGGAAACGAAGGAGAAGTAGTGAAGATGATATGGATGCCAGGAGAGATGAGAGAGAGCTCAACTGGCCGCATAATCTACCCTGCCCACCCCCAGGGAGGCGAGGCGGTCCAAGGGTAGGAACCAGAAACTGGTGATCTAGGACAGTACCCCCACCTGAGGCAACTTCCAAACTCTCTCTCGATAACGAATAGGCGGTCCATGGCCTATATTATATCAACATACTGTATGACACACTATGATATCAACACTAAATCAACACAGTGATGACACATTAAGATTTATATTGTTTTTTCTGCTGGTATTATTTCTGCAGTTACTACTTCTGCTACGATGCATACTTCAACTGCTATTGATGCTGCTGATGATGTTAGTACTGCTTTTGAATATATTGGTCATATAATTTGAAAACTTGGGTGACTTCAATGTGTCGCCGCTTCGCTACAAGATAGCCAGAGACCCGCACTACAATCATATTGCCAAGAAAACCCGAGTGCTGTGCAACTTACAGGAGGAAACACGAAAAACAAAAAATGGAATCACCGATCAGTCTGCTGCCTGGAAGAACTTCACCTGCTTGAGCAAGCCCGTGAGCTCCTGCCTGTAGGGATGCTACCTTCCTAGTAGGATGACCCATCGAAGGTTATTATAAGCTAGATGACAACGAAAAAGTCCAGCATTATACCGCAAGAAATAAGGCATAAGTATCTTGAGGAAATTTATAAAGAAGCCGGAATTGAATTGGATAACATCTACACTGATGGTTCAACGAATTCTACTACTAGTAGGATTAGTTGAAGGGCTGGAACAACATACACTATAATTAGGAATAATTTCTTTCAAAAAGAAAATGAAGAAAAAGCACATATTGAGAACTGCCTCTTCAACACAAGCAGAGCTAACCGCCATTGTTATGA